TTGTTAATATGTTGTTTAGGATATTGCATCCTCATTTATAAGTGAAATATGTTTGTAATTTCCCTTTATAATAATATATTTTTTCCAATCTTAATATCAGGTATATCCAGATAAAGTAGAATGAATTTGAAGTATTTCTTCTTTTTCTATTGCCTGTAAGATTTGGCATGATCTGTTTTTTCAAATTATCTTCTATTTTTATTTATAAATATTAATTATTTGTTGAGACTTTGGAAAAAAATAAAAAATAAATAAATTAAATATCCCAAGATGACTTCAACATACACTTAGTTGCATTTAATTTCTTTTCTAAAGAAGAAAAAGAGCAGCTGGCCTTATATAATAATAAAATAAAAATAATAAAAAGGTACTGATGACTAGCCTTTTAAAAAAGTGTCTGAAATGTTCATTCAATGTTCGTTCAAGGCTGGTATTCATTATTTATTCAGAGCCTGATTGTCAGGCTTGAAAAGCAACAGAGATTATTGATGTATTCTAGAGAACATAAATAAATTTGTTCTTGGTACAGCAATGAATAAGAGAGAAAAAAACTTATTCTTTGTATTACAAAGGTCCTATGCATTCTGTTTCTGTAAGATGCTTTTAATTAACTGTAAGTTATATGGAACAATTTACAAATACCATAATTTGATATTTCTTTTCAGTAGTTCAACACACCAAAGCTATCTTTAAACTGTGATATTGTATGATTAATATTTTGCATTGGTTTATTTGCATTTTTTTACTAAGTGGAGGTTATAGAGATAATGGATTTTAAAAGTAATTTTAAAACTATTTCGGAGCTTTAAGTAATTTATTTTACTTGTTTCAGTTTAGGGAAATAGTTTTTTTGTGTGTATGATTTTTTTTTTTAGTTTAGGATTCATTGAGGGTATAAAGAATTAGGTTACACTGATTGCATCTGTTAGATAAAGCTGGTGTCAAGATAAATGTATTGAACTAAAAATGTAAAAAATAAACAGCAGTGGAAAAGTTATTACTAAGAGCAAAGTTAAATCTGTGTTTTGAAAATAATTCATGAGAATTCCCATTAAATCAAAACACTCGATCAATTTTGTTCTCTGCCTTAAAAGGTGACTTCAGCCATATTAATAATTTTAAGCTTTTGGCAAAGTTAAAATTATACTATACTTTCTATTTATGAAAACACACACATACTGAGTTTTGATAAAATTAGGAATGGCTTTATATTAACTATGTTACTGAAATTAGCAGAAAATGAAATTTTAAACAGAAGCAGTGCCTGGGAAGAAAGACTTTTAAGAGCCCTGGTGGACAGAGAAAAAAGGGGGGTACGGCATTTCTAAACCTGATTGTAAGAAGAGAGATTGTGAGTCGACTGACAATACTCCTGCTGTCTTGTGAGTGATCTATCTGGCAAAGGTCAAATAGGTCATGACTGTGATGCAAACGGTACGATATGAGGAAAGCTTATAATAAAAGAATTATAGAAATTCAAAGCATATGAATCCCAGTTGTAATTAGAGACAACTTCGTGAAAATACAAATGTGAGATGGTTATTAAAGGGTAGGGATTTCTAAAAGTGTAATAGAGCAAGGTGTTTCATAATTTATAGAACACAACCCAAATGAACATTATTCTTACCTTTTAATAAATATTTATAACATGAAAATGCTTTGGAAGTCATTTCATCTGCTTCAATTGATTGTAAGTTATGAAAAGTAGTGACAATAGCTTAAGATGTCTTGTAAATCTGAAGCTTACAAATATTCCTTACTTAGGAAAAGATACAGGGAAACTCTTTTTCCTGCCACAATAACTATGTTTCATCCCAAACAGCACTGCTGCTAGCTACTTCCTTCTCCCTCTTCAGTCCCACCATTATGGGGAAAGACGAGAGGGGAAAAAACAGTGTCACAAAGGCCAAAGGGATTGAAAACTTCAAGGAGGGAGAATAAATACAGAATAAAGATTAAATGACTAAAGGACTAAAAAGCATTCATTGGATTTGGTAATAGGTAGGTACATGAGTAACCTCAACTAAAACAAATGAATCCACTTGTATCCCATGACGTATAATTCATTTTTTCTGATTCTATACTTGTATAATGGCCTTGTTGAATAGTAAAATAATTCAATAGGAAGAAAGTCATTACCCAGTAACTTTCATTCTTCTTAGGCTATTAAAACTGACCATTGAACAATCTGTTCCAAAATTCCCTCAGCAAGTTAAGCTGAATATCTAGGGCAAAATGTTACTTTGATTTTAAAATGGATACTATGTATTTGGCTTCTTCAGTCTGCAGGTATTTTATCTTCAAGGAATGTTCTGAGAAACAAACCAAAAAACCCTATCAAACTGTTGAGGATACACATTGCAGGGTTTTCCTTATAAATGTCTACTTCTATTACTGTGAAATCTTCACCAGTTTCCTTTTATATCACTCTCGAATACTTCAATACCAATACCATTATGTTTTGGTTACCTGGCCACCACTGGGCTATTTATAAAAAATATGTACTAGTTGCTGCCTTTGGCCCATAGCACACTTAGGAACAGAGTTTGTGCCATATTTTCTCAAGTTAAATTTGAAAATATATATTTTCATGAGGTTGGCAAGAAATCCCAAATGATTATCTAATCTCTTATTCTAAGCTAAACTACCCAGAAAAAAAAAAATCAAATCTTTTGTTTATTAAAAGTCATCAGAAAATGTTTTTTATGTCCAAATTGAATTGCTACAATTGAACTTGGCTCATTATTCCTATTCTACAAAGATTATTGTTCAGTATCTAGATGTTTAAATAACCCCTAAATTACTAAATTGCCAAGTAACCTCATGTACAACTTTCTATTGCAACAATAATGCAAAATAACATACCTCAAAAACTTAAGTATAAGCCAATAAGTATTCATGTTTTTCTCATGCAATTTATGGATTAGTTGATTGGCCAGGCATGCTCATTTGTCTATAGCCAGCAAACAGGTGAGCGTTGGCTTGGCTGGTCTAAGATGGCCTCAACTAGAACAGTTCTCCATGAGATTTCTGTCTGCAGGATAGCCTAGGTTCGTTCCCAAGGCAGAGGCAAGGGGGGAGAGAAAGTACTATAGCTTACAAGGCCTCTTGAGGCCTAGGCTGACAACTGGCACAATGTCACAAGTCTCAGGGATACCCAAGTTCAAGGGTACAGGAACAGAATTCACTTCTTGATGAGAAGAATGAACCAGAAATTGTATTGCAAAAGGAGTAGACAGGCAAGGCTGAAGACCACAGTCACTTTTACAAACAATCTTCCCAAGTTTCCTTTAGTCTTTAGGTAAGCTGATATTAATGGTGTTTGGACTGTTATAAATCTGGACTTTGTAAATATTATCTGATTTTATCATTATAAAATATAATTTCAAGAACACTGTTAAATTGAAACCAAGGTGTGCTGAAATTAGATGTCAAGTTGAGGTTTTAAGATCACGAGGGTTGAGAAAATGGATTTTGTGACCTTACGAAAAATAACATAAAAGCTACCTTACATATTAGAAAATATGAATCTGTAAAAACTAAGAGGAAATTACATAGCTTATGTTAAATTTTCTTTTATTATCTATGTATTTAGAACCTACTTTATAGTATTTGATAAACTACCAGAAATCATTTTATTAAAAGAGAAACACTCATGAACTTTTAAAATGAACCATTTATTAAATCGGATTGTTACTCTTAACAGTTAGGTAAGTTACATGTGTAAGTCAGAGTATTTCACATGGAAAATTTTTAAACTCCTATAGGCAAGCAAAATTGTATCACACAATATATAAGTAGGAAGAGGGTACTGCTAAACATTCAAATAAGGCAAGTATTTAAAAACCATAAAACAATAATTAAAAAAAAATTCAAGCATTCCTTTAAGAGAATTCAACACTACAAGCTAAATGTACTTTCTGAGTGGATTCACATAATCAAGGCAGTGTTTCTTCTTTTAAAACATCAGGAAATAGAATAAGGCTCATTAATAGATACAGCTGCCCTCAAGATTTCAATCTCAGTTGCTTTCTTGAAATTAAAATTCACGAAGTGCACAATTAAG